GAAAAATGCGAAGCTTTGATGAAACAACACGAAGTGACACGAAACACCAGAACAGCACACGATCGCGATAATATAATCACTGAATTGTATGAGGAACACAAAAACACAATACTTGCACTCATGTTCAAGTGAACACTCCGTTTGGAACGATAAATAATTCCTTTCGCGTATTTTTCAATTGCAATCGCAAAAGTGGACCGTACGTGATGAAATCTAATATAAGACTGTCTTGATTCACCACCTGGTCTCGAACGAATGACTAATAGGTTGAATCATGCTGTTAACAGATCAATCTCCGAACAAATGATTTATCGTATATTTTCTTCTGAAAAAATACCGTTCTGAACGGAAAGTACGAAAATCAGAAGAAAATATATCTTCATCGGAAAATATTTTTAAAAAATGTCAAATTGGAAGCGCACTACTAAGAGGTATGCCAATTCATTAGTTTTCCCGCTTTTTGCAAATATCAAAACATATCTACAAAATTTCGATATACAGAGTCTTGTTTTTGAAAAAGAAGAAGTTTTCTGTTTTTCCTGAAGACGGTTCTGGATTCTAAATTTGATTCCTATTTAGTTCTGATGAATAATATAATTTGAATATCGATTATACTGATTTTGCCGAATTTAATATAACGTTCTGTATCGCAGTTATAAAAGATGGTAGACACATCGATAGGGGGTGATTGGAACCACCAAAGTTTCCTATATCTGCAGGTATAGTATGTACATTTGAATCTGAAACACCCTGTATAGGCAAAAGGTATTTTTTCATGAAAATTTCGAATCGTCTTATTTTCTTCTGGTTTGCTCTTTTCGCATTATTATTCTGAAAAAATATAGTTCTGAACGGAAAGCACGAAGATCAGAAGGAAGTATTCCTTCATCGGAAAATGTTCAACAAGCGGTACCTTTGTGATTTTCGAACATATAAGGTAATGAAGTTGAAAGTATAGAGGAAAGAGGGAAATATGAGGAAAACTTGAGAGAATTTCTCTCTACTCACCAGGGTGAAAAATGCGAAGCTTTGATGAAACAACGCGAAGTGACACGAAACACCAGAACAGCACACGATCGCGATAATATAATCACTGAATTGTATGAGGAACACAAAAACACAATTCTTGCACTCATGTTCAATTGAACACTCCATTTGGAACGATAAATAATTCCTTTCGCGTATTTTTCAATTGCGATCAGAAAAGTCGACCGTACGTGATGACATCTAATATAAGACTGTCTTGATTCACCACCTGGTCTCGAATGAATGACTAATAGGTTGAATCATGCTGTTAACAGATTAATCTCCGAACAAATGGTTTATCTATAACTAATGACGATAATGAAATTATACAGGGGGAACAGATATGTAGTATACAAGATGTAAGATGAAGAATTGAACACGGATATACTGGCACCATCATTTTCGAAAGTCTAAAACGATTTGAAAAAATTAAAAACAGACTAAAATAAAAATTTTCACGAAAATTTCTAGTGATTTGAAAGAGTTTAACAGTCAGAAGTAGTGAAAAAATCTAGCAAATTTCTCGAAGAGTGTAAAATGCACAAGGTGACATACAGGGTGTTTCAGATTTGATTATACATTGTGGGTTAGACTGCCAGGCTTCTCTACGAAGTTATTAGAAATAAGGTTGTGCTGAGTTACTACGAATACTACGTCTATCAGAGAATTTTGCGGAGAATTCAGTGGCGTACTCAATTTCTTTAGGGGTTATGATTTTGGAGATATTTGTATTTTATTATTTAGTTGAATCCGTTATTTGTTTCCATTCAAAATGACGAATAAAACTTTGTACATGGGATTTCCAGAAATCCTAAAAAGCACTAAAACATCAGACCATGATGAATTCTGGTTATAGTGGGCCATGGATTTTTCAAGTTTTACTTTAACGATTATTTTATGTCTGATTTACTATACAGGGTATGTCGTGACGAGCTTACACTATTTCTATATCAAGAATCAGTCGGGAGAAATTCATGAAAATATGCATGCTCATATTTTAGAATATGCTCTCTTCATTTGAAATATTTTCTGAGGCACAAGGTGAGTCCAGAGCTGAGTGAAGTGTAAACATGCGCCAGTATACAGATTAGCACAGCGCTTTTGGTCAGTTTTTGTGATTGTCCATTGCCGTTGAAAATATATCAGCTTCTTTCTAATTCACCGATAGTTGAAATGGTTTGGTCATTTTAATATCCTACAGAATGTCACAGGTTTGATGAAAGTCTTCTTTGTAGCTGTAATATACTATGTAACAACTTTATATTCAAATTCTGGAATAATTCCAATATACTTCTTATCTTTTTATTTATTAATCATAATATTCAGATATTTTATATTATCCATGGATATCATCATCCCTAATACAGGGTGACAGACATATACTGAGGAATATCAAATTCCTGATCTAATATTCCCATATTTGGTCTTTATCAAATACTTTGATGAATGATTCCCGCCATTCTGCCCATGTAGAAAATCTGCTTGACTCGCATAATTTTTGTTCATACCACTGCAGAGCGATACCATCTAAACTGCATCTCATATTCAAGATTTTTTCTTCATCTGTAGTCCATTTATTGTGAAAAGCTATCATTTCGAATGTTTTCATCCAAGAATTTGGGTTTTTTCCTGTTCCATCAAACGGGTTGATAGTTTTTTGCGTTGTCGAATCCTTAATGAGTGACAACCATTTTGACATCATCATATCAAGTTCAGATTTACCAATTAATAAACTCCGCTCTTCATTCATGTGGGTGTCTCCAGATTCCTCTCCTCTATCATAATTGATTTGGATCGGGTTATTGTTTGCCGACTTCGCCATATTTGTAACAACTTTATATTCAAATTCTGGAATAATTCCAATATACTTCTTATCTTTTTATTTATTAATCATAATATTCAGATGTTTTATATTATCCATGGATATCATCATCCCTAATACAGGGTGACAGACATATACTGAGGAATATCAAATTCCTAATCTAATATTCCCACATACTATCCGTTAAACAGTATTATGTCAATCACACACACGATGTAATGATGATTCAACGATGATTTTTGATATTTTCTGTGATAACTTGACACAATTAACACGATTGAATAGCAGGAATAAAATGTATGCAAAACACACAAAATATGTAAACAAAGTGCCCTGATAACACCGCCATCTTGTTTTTGATACAGCGCCCTCAACGGTGGATCACCTTTGCCAATTCTACAAAGAAATATAATATGGTAATGTGTCTCATTGATTTGTTATTCTACGTGGTTGCCAAAAAAATAGTGAACGCAACACGTCCAAAATCTACGACTTGGCCTAGAATTTTGTCTATTTGTCCGAAAAAACATTATTTTCCGGACTTTTTACGTAAATTACTATTTCCTGCGACCATCTACGACAATCTGCCCATTGTCGTTCTAAATGAAAACCTAGTTATAGGTGAGAGGTATAATATTGTCTGTTCATTGACCCAAAATTAGTCTGCCTGTCGATGGCGCTAGTTCATTACTGAAAATATAGAGAGCTCATTTGTTTCAATAAATATTTCAGGTTGAAATTTCCAAAACCTCACCTCAATCAAATCACAATTTAGATTTGATTGTCTAATTCCTACTATAGGTGGAGGTACACTTCTTTCTCAACAATGACGTGAATTTGAGGCAACATGCAATGACTTTCAACAACATCAGGTAGAAGTTTCATCTTGAGCTACATAGGTATTATTCATTTCATAATAATGAGACAGGATGAAATTCATACAGTCGAATCCACCAAAACTATTCTTTATTGTAAGTAAATTTTACGGGGACATGTTTCGAAGCTTTGAAACTTCAAAACTTGATTGACTTGAATGATTTGATATTCCAGAAATACAGATAATAAGTAAGTAAATAAGGCAGTTCCTACCTTCTTAATCTTAGCCTGATAAGTTTCCAGTTTCTACTCAAATTCAAATATGTAATATCATTTCATCATTGCATAAACAACAGTTTCTTTTTAATGAATCCTGCTTTCCATATTCGTGTAAATATCTGAAATGTTTAAACAAAAAAGTGATCGTGACAAAGATTTGAAAATTGTTTGGGGTTAGGATAGCAGAGAATAACTTGCACTAGAGGTCACTAGCATACTGAAGATTTGGTCGATAAGGACGATTGTCGCTTTATTTACTGAACAGACAATATTATACTTCTTGCCTACTCTAAGATGGATCACCTTTGATGGTTTATAAAAATGATTTGATATTCCAGAAATACAGATAGTAAGTTATTATTAACAATTTGAAAGTAAATAAGCAGTTCCTATATCTTCTTAATCTTATCCTGATAAGTTCCCATTCCTACTCAAATTCAAATATGTAACATCAATGAATTGAGATTTTCATCATTGCATAATAAACAACAGTAGGTATCTGTTCAATGCATCTTACTTTCCTTATTTGTGTAAGTATCTGAAATGTTTAAACAAAAAAGTGATCATGACAAGGATTTGAAAATTGTTTGGGATTAGGATAGCTGAGAATAACTCGCACTAGAGGTCACTATACGAAAAATATGGTCGATAAGGACGATTATCGCTTTATTTAATGAACATACAATATTATACTTCTCGCCTACTAACTATGTTTTCATTTAGAACGACAATGATCTGTCACTTATACATCTATTTGAAATCTGTACTCATCAGTCACTTTTTCGTGTCATTCGCGATAGAAAATAAGCGTACGCCACCTATCAAAGTTCTTGAAAGCTGTCAAAGCAGCATGTTTACTTTGTTTTCATTGGTTCACATTTGTTTTTTGTTTGTTCTTATTGGTCATATCATCAAAACAAACCGCTCAGAAGTGTTCAAGTTGCAGCCGTCAGAGGTGGGGCGATGTGTTATTTTCTATCGCGAATACGTGAATTATCGGAAAATTTTATTCATACGAAAGTTGAGAATCACCCTGTATATCTATCACGTGTTTCAGCCACCTTCCCAAGACACCACCTTCGTCCATCAACAGCCGCCTGCCAATCCGGGCTACTCACTGTTCAACAACAGCTGGACGCCCAACCTGGCTGGGCAACTGAGGGGCAGCAAGCCGCCCACGGAGGCTGCGATGGGCGGCCACCTGCCCCAGCAGTCGCTTTTCAGCGGGCACGGGCCCAAATCTTTGGCGCAGCTGCTCGAACAACAGAGCCAGTTGAACAAGCACGATTTATGAAGGATAAGCTCGCAAAGACTGTTGTGAGGGTGACATTGAAAAATTGTTTTAATGGACTTTACTAATGACTTTTGGATGTTTCTTGGTGTTTGAGAAGGGAATAATGGACGACCTCAACAAGTTTTGAAAATATTTACAAGCTTTGAAAACGATTTTGGGTTCAAGAGAATGGAATAAGAGAACGATTCCTCAAGTTTAAGAACGTAAACGCCGAGACTGTACTTTACTTATGACTTTCAATGTTTCTTGGTGTTTGGCAACGGAATAATGGGGTTTGAGAACGACACTAACAAGTTTTGGAAACATTTAGACAATTTGAGAACGACTTCGGGTTGAAGAGAAATTCATCAAGGGTCAAGAACGATTCGACCGGTCTAAGAACGTAAACGCTAAAACTGTTGAGAGTGTGACATTGAAAAATGATTTTAATGAAGGTTACTAATGACTTTTGATGTTTCTTTGGTGTTTGGGGACGACTTCACAAGTTTCAAAAAAAAAAAATAATTGTTGCTTGAAAGAAAGACTGTTGTGAGGATGACATTGAAAAATTGTTTTAATGGACTTTACTAATGACTTTTGGATGTTTTTTGGTGTTTGAGAAGGGGATAATGGAGTTTGAGGACGACCTCAACAAGTTTAGACAATATTTCCAAGGTTTAAAAACGACTTTGGGTTCAAGAAAATAGAATAAAAGAACGATTCCTCAAGTTTAAGAACGTAAACGCCGAGACTGTACTCTACTTATGACTTTCTATGTTTCTTGGTGTTTCGCAACGGAAAAATGAATTTTGATAACGACACTTACAAATTTTGAAAACATTTAGACAATTTGAGAACGACTTTAGGTTCGAGAAAAATTCATCACGGGTCAAGAACGATTCGACAAGTCTGAGAACGTAAACGCCAAGACTGTTGAAGTTGAAAGTGTGACATTGAAAAATCATTTTAATGAAGGTTACTAATGACTTCTAATGTTTTTTTTTTGTGTTTGAGGACGACTTAACAAGTTTCGACAACATTTATTGTTGCTTGAAAGAGATCATCAACGATACTTATATTGGCGTTTGAGAACTACTTTTCAGTTTGAGAACACAAGAGTTTTAAGAGGGACTCATAAGGCTCAAAAAGTAAAATTTAACTTACAGTCAAGAGCATTAACCTGTTATAAGGTCTGAAGTTCGAAAATGAATTTGAAACAGACTCATTGACAATATTATTACTAATGATTCAATGTTCAAGAATGAAATAATATGGACGGCTTAACAGTTTTTCAAACGATCCATGAAGTTCAGAAGGAAACTGATTCGTGACTAACTAACGATTTTTCATGATTAACAATGGCATGAACTCTATTCTATCTTGAATAGGAGAGAGGAGAGTTATCTCATCTTCTCTTCAGTGCTACCAACGTGACCCCATTAAAATATTGAGATGACCTAGTTTGTGCCACTGAATTATTTTTGAATTCAGCAGAGGTGTCAAATTTAACAATTTCAAGAAATCAAAAAGTAGGTACGGTAAAACAGGGCGATTTGGAATGTTTCCATCAGATTATTGGCTCTGAACCGTCGAATACGTTAATTGAGTGCATATAAAAAATAAAAATCATAATACATTACTTTGGACCAAAAAGAATATATAGCAGGCATCGACAAAATTCAATGCGTGGCCAATTTTTGTGAAAAAAAAATTAAACTTGATATTTCAAGTCGCAAAGAAACATCGTCAATTCTTGGGCAAATTTTCAAGATATAGTCGCAGGGAGGCGACATGGAATGAAGAGAATTGAAAAAAATAATTTAGTTTTGCCAGTTGAAGAAAATACCTGATACCATCAAGTATAAAATATCCTTGTTTCAGTTATTGTCAATGGTAGTCACAGGAATTCCAGAGCATTCTGACATTGCCATCAGGCTTCCATTTCCTTTCCTGTAACCTGTCAAATGCAGAGACTCTTGACTATAATTCTGATAGTTCTGCGTCCCAGGTTTTTTTTTAAGCTCTAAACCTTATTTCAAGTCGCTCCAATATTGTAAAAACAATCAAATGGTACGCCAATGGATAATGAAAAAAATGTAACGCAAATCTAAGGATACTGAATTCAAGTATATTGGCAATAAAAAAATGTTTCGAAAAATATCCTCCTTCCTAGACACACACCTAACTGGAAGTAGTAACAGAACTAAAACAAAAAACAACTGTTTATTCTTACCCTCCTAACGGAATTTTTGTCACTAAACCTTCAGCATCACAGGGGTGTGATCGATTGAAAATGATTTGTATAATAGGTTCCTACATATACAAAAAATTTCCAGCTTTCAGTGTTCATGAAAAGATGGCAGCACGTGGTTGGGATCGAGCACGCACGGATATTTCAAATCGCCCCCTAATTTCAAGCCTTCCCATTTTACGGTACCTACTTTAAGGTACTCAGTACAGTGTCTGAAATTTTATTACAATTATTGTATGTTAACATAAATGAAATGTAATTTAAAATTGTATTTCGAAAATTCGAAAAATTATCAATGACAGCTACGATATAGACATATCACATCGAAAATAGTTCAGTGGAGCAGACTAGATGTGAGACAAGGGAAGAGTTATAGAATCTCTCTATTTAATGCGGCCACGTTTTTAGTACTAAAGAGAAAGATGGAAGAGGAGAAGAGAAAACTTTACTCTCTCTCGTTCCAGATAGAAAATAGCTCAATTTATGAACGACTTTGACAGTTTCTTAAAGTAATTTATTAAAAATGGCCCAATGGTGATTCACTTTCATAATTTAAGAATGGCAGAAGAATTGAAAGTGAATCTCAAGATTCAAGAAACAAAAAACATGAACTTCAAAGAATGACAATATGTTGACCACAAAATTACCTCAATGGAATTGAAAACTGACTACTGACTTACACTAACGACTTTTGATGGTATTATGAAGGCAAGAACGACATGAAGAAATGTATGTTCGACTATGACAGTCCCTCCAAAAATTTGCTGAAATTTAGGAACAATGTATTGAAGTTAAAAAACTGCTGTCAGAGTTGGAGAATGACACAAGAATTCAAAGAGCAACTCATAAGGTTCAATAATAATTGAAAAAACATATTGAACATCAATCCATCTCAAAACTAATGAATGGGTTAGGTGATTTACCCTGTATATCATTTCTTGTAGCCATACCCACTTGGGTTAATAATCCTTGTTGGTTAGCATAAATGGGGATGAATATTTGTCCCAATTATATTTGATTATTTGTTTTTTTGAAATAAATATAATTTGTAAAATTAAATATTTGAATGTAGCCATAGACTATAGTTGATTAATATTCAAGTATTTAATTCTTTTCACTAAATAATGACGCTCATTCAATGATTATAAATTAATATGGATATTTAGCAATACATTTGATATTCCTAATATTTCTTGCTTTTTACTAGAAAACCCAAATCCTCCAATAATAACAAGAATGATATTCTCATTTCAGGTCAGGTATTTCACATATTTCTCAAAAAAAAACAGAGTCAGGGGAGTCAACATATAAAAAAACAATTTTTCATCATTAATAATTTATATTTTACAATAAGTATGAGAAATAATATTTATTAGGGAATTTATAATAACTTGCCAAAATTGGTCTAACACCAATCCAACTATTAAGACAAATTCCATTGATTTCCAGTATCCTTCATGTCAGCAGTAAAATACTCCACATAACATTTGCAAGTAGTTATAAACAAATTATGAACCTAGCAATACTTCTTATTATCCTTTCCAGAATTTTAAATTTTCCCACAAATAAAACTTGCTGTACTCCTTTTTCATCTCAATTCCACTGTAAAAAGATCACTAAATGATAAATGAAATGAGAAATGAAATTTCTTCTGAACACATTTAAACTACTGCATTTTCCTTCAATTGATTACAATTTGTTTTATTCATGCCCATAACACTTTTAACGTTTGCCATTGTTGAAATTCAAACTTCTCAGAGGAGTTTTAAATGTGGAAGCAGACTGCTGTTGAAGCTGATATGCCAGGGGATGTATTTTGAAACCAAATAACCTGAAATAAAAGTTTGTGTCTTCAAATGATTCCATTATTTTTGACTGACGGAACTTTCAATTTTTTTAAATCTCTTGGAGCACATGAAAGGGAGGTAGGTGTTGGATTTTTTTCAACTTTTGGAGATCATAAGTTATTGCCACCCTATATTGAATTTTTAAACCTATTCAAAGTAACAGATTCAGCAATGAAGAATATACCGGGTGGCTACGGAAGTATTGCCTACGGAATATCTCAGTTATTGTATGAAGTAGGTTTGTTAAATTTGGAGCGTCGATATATGACATAAGAGCTAGAATTTGAGCATATTGACATGTCTGACCGGAAGTAACAACAACTTTCTTATTTTAAATGGAAACCCTATTTTATTTTCTTTTCGCTTCATTCAGCATTCAATTCCCTTTCTAATGACATATCACAAGTTGGTATCTTACCAGAAACTAAATCAGAAAAAAATTATTATTGAGATTCACCAAGTAGGCCGTGGAAGCAAAGTGAAAGCCAAAAATTGAAAAGTTGGCTATGGAAACCATACGTCACTCGATAACAGTTGCTACTACTGTGATATTTTATTTTCATTCGTCGCCGTTATAAAAAGCCGCCAAAAAAAATATTGGAAAAATTGGGAAAAAAACAATACTCTGTAGGTCCATAACTTAAATAGGAACATACAACTTTTTCTTGCCTGTACTATTCAGCATAACCATTCCTTTCTAATGATATAATAGAAAGTCATTTTTTGGCTCTCATTTTGCTTCCACGGCCTACTCGGTGAATTTCAATAATAATTTTTTTCTGATCTAGTTTCTGGTTAGATACCAACTTGTGATATGTCATTAGAAAGGGAATTGTATGCTGAATAAAGCGAAAAGGAAAAAAAATAGGGTTTCCATCTAAAATAAGAAAGTTGATGTTACTTCCGGTCAGACCGGAAGTTAACTTCGACATGTCAATATGCTCAAATCCTAGCTCTTATGTCATTATATCGACGCTCTAAATTTCACAAACAATTTCACAAACCTACTTCATACAATAACTGAGATATTCCGTAGGCAATACTTCCGTAGCCACCCGGTATATCTTTTTTTTCATTTCTTATTAAAATGGACACCATTTCAGTTGCCCCATATTTTGAAGATAGAAGAGGGATACATTTTTTTCAATATCATTTCAGCTACAAAAAATCAACAAACTTGAATCTAGAATGCTAAGTAATGTATAAGAGTTGAAATGAAGAGATCAGGCATGTGGAAGAATTCACCCTGTATATTTTTCTAGGTTGTTACATGAAACCATGGATACCTATTTTGTATTTAAAAGCTTTTATTCAACTTGCATTGTATGTTTGTATGTATGTATGTTCGGGTGGAATCTTTGAACCCAATTTTGAAGTAGAAATCTTCAACCGATTGAGCTGAAATTTTGTATACACGTTCAGTTTGGATGACAATGCACGATAAGGTGTGTCACGTTATTCTAAATCCAATATGGCGGACTATCCAAGATGGCGGAATAGCTATTTTTGATATACTTTTACAATATGGGTATCAAATGAAAAGGCTCGTTGAGAGTAACTCGGAAAATGATGTGACGTCATTCTAAATTGAATATGGCGGACCATCCAAGATGGCGTAATGGTCATTTTTAATCTACTTCTGCAATATGGGTATCAAATGAAAGGGCTCGTTGAGAGTAATTCGAAGAATAATGTGACGTTATTCTAAATCCAATATGGCGGACCATCCAAGATGGCGGAATGGTCATTTTTAATCTACTGCTACAATATGGGTATCAAATGAAAGGGCTCGTTGAGAGTAATTCGAAAAATAATGTGACGTTATTCTCAATCCTATATGGAGGACTATCCAAGATGGCGGAATAGCTATTTTTGATATACTTTTACAATATGGGTATCAAATGAAAAGGCTCGTTGAAAGTAACTCGAAAAATGATGTGACGTCATTCTAAATCGAATATGGCGGACCATCTAAGATGGCGGAATGGTCATTTTTAATCTACTTCTACAATATGGGTATCAAATAGAAGGACTCGTTGAGAGTAATTCGAAAAATAATGTGACGTTATTCTAAATCCAATATGGCGGACTATCCAAGATGGCGGAATATCTATTTTTGATATACTTTTACAATATGGGTATCAAATGAAAAGGCTCGTTGAAAGTAACTCGAAAAATGATGTGACGTCATTCTAAATCGAATATGACGGACCATCCAAGATGGCGGAATGGTCATTTTTAATCTACTTCTACAATATGGGTATCAAATGAAAGGGCTCGTTGAGAGTAATTCGAAAAATAATGTGACGTTATTCTAAATCCAATATGGCGGACTATCCAAGATTTCGGAATTGCTATTTTGGATATACTTTTACAATATGAGTATCAAATGAAAAGGCTCGTTGAGAGTAAATCGGAAAATGATGTGACGTCATTCTAAATCGAATATGGCGGACCATCCAATATGGCGGAATGGTCATTTTAAAACTACTTCTGCAATATGGGTATCAAATGAAAGGGCTAGTTGAGAGTAATTCGAAGAATAATGTGACGTTATTCTAAATCCAATATGGCAGACCATCCAAGATGGCGGAATGGTCATTTTTAATCTACTTCTACAATTTGGGTATCAAATGAAAGGATTTGTTGAGAGTAATTCAATAAATAATGTGACGTTATTTTATTTTATTAAAAAGTTTTATTTTACTTTTAATTTATTTCAGATGTTAATAGAGAATATATTTTCTCAGAATTGTTTAGATTTTTTATTATTCAATTGATTTAATTCAATAGTCTGTGGAATAGACAGGAAACTAGTTGTTTTTTGTTAGATATTTCAACAATGACTTATTCCTTAAAAAAAATAATTTGAGGTGTACAGGGTGGACTAAATAACTTGAAGCTATAAGAACACAAAGCATAAATTGACAATTTTTCAGAAATTTCCAGCAATATTCTCCTTAGATATGAACTCAAATTTAATAATTGAAATGGATCACCCTGTATTTTTTTGGTGTTGAAAATTCAGCAAACAAGCGTTTTTGCAGTGACTGAGCAACATAACTTCTTGATTGACTGATGAAATATTAAAATTTCTTGAACATCAATAATACACTTTGAGGTAGGTATACAGAATGGACCAAATAACTTAATGGTATTCAGAAATATACATTTACCCTCAAAATATCACTTTGAATTTGAGTATTCCAAATGGATCACCATGTATTTTATTAGTGTTGAAAATTCAGCAAATAAAAACATTTCTGCAGTCAGTAAAAACATAATATGTCAAGTGCCCAATTTTCAAAAACATAATTAATTCACTTTGAGATGTACAGGGTGAACCAAATTATTTGGGGTTCTCTCAAAAGGTATGATGTATATTGGAATTGATTTCCAAAGAGAGAAAACCACAAACACCAAACTGTACACCAGCTGAATCAACTCTTTCCAATTGAAATTTTTCATTGAGTTGTTTCCAAAGTCACTGCTGCTCCAGAAGCAATAAGAACATCCAATCAAACAATGAAATACACTCTAAACACATACCTAGGAACAAACTGATTTGTTGGACGTTTTGGTCTATATTCTGGATGCACCATGAACAGCATATGGGGAAAACCAGTCCCAAAATATGCTCCATCTGTATGGTGATGCCTGGAGGACTTTGGAGTGTACACATCCATGCATTTGGGACAGTAAGATTTCACCATTGCTTCACCAGGCACATCAGATAAACCTATAAAATCAAACACATTCTGAACTCACTCAGAATTTCTAGCAGCTCACATTCATACCTAAAGGTAACAAGGGTTGTGATTCACAATATACTCTGGGACAGTACCCAAAATCCCCAGACTGGTACTTCTCAATCATCTGAGCTATACCACGATTTGTTAAAATATACCTAGCATGTATAAGTCCATAGAGCATTTCTGCTGCTTGTTCTATTAAATCCGATTGGTTAGGGTTGTCATCTAGTTCATCATCTAGAAAAGAAAATAAATAAGCACAACTTTCCTACTGAATGGGGGAATTATGCAACATTCATTATGATTAAATTTTCACTAGATTTGCCTAGATTTCTCAAATGTTTACATGTGATTCAATGATATATGTGTGAAGTTTTGAGGAAGGAATGTTCATTCAATGATCTAATCTTGCAAATCAGTCTTCATTTTCACTAGAACTATAATGTTATCAAATTATAGTTGATAGAGGTGATCTACTCATTTTGCTTGTCATCTTGCCACCCAATTTGTACCTGGTTCCAAGTCCAGAATCATATCCAAGGCTTGTCTGTAATGTGGCACTTGCTCGTTCAATCCCGTCAAATTGAATTTGTCCTGAATATAATCCTCGTCCACCTGCAATCACCATTGTTTTGATCAGGGTTATGGGCTAGTCCAATGGACACTCACCTCGCAGAAAAATTCGTTTCCTCTCAGCCCGCAGAACCATGAGATCCATGATACCTCCTCTGAGCTGCTCATCTTTCTGGAAATTCAGATTCAGAATGAGGGAAAATAATCAGGCAAAACAGGAAAATGAACTGTGAAAGGGGTGTCACAACCCAATGTTTGGATTGGGTTTTTTGACGTTTGCCATCGTATGCTGGTCTTATTCCCAGATACGATGGCGATCTGATGTTATTTGAAGCTCACTGGAGCATCAGGGAAAGTATATAAGGACAATAAACAGTATTTTTGCATTAAACTTACCTTTTTGTACCTTGATTAGCCACGCTTACGTTAACTTCATCTACGCGAGTCGCGAAGAGGAAATCGACTTGTAGGTCATCTGCACTGAGCAGTTAGAACTAAAATTTGGAGGGAGATTCAAATTTATGTGTGATCTCTGTCGTGAAATACCTTCGAGGATGAAAATGCGATGGAAAGTTACGATTTTATAATGATTCACTTAGTGTCATTATCACGGTCATAACCTTAGATTTATTTGTTTCAAAAATTTAAGAGATGACAATAAGACAAGAACGATCAAAATTAACTGTAAAGTGCTTTTAAAATTTGATTTCAATACCTCCTAATCGAGAAGATGATCGCTGTAGTCAACAATTTTGTTGCTGGAAATCTGTAAATGGTAAGGGTGATAATAAGGTATTTTTTGTGTTTTTTTTTTCATAATATCATAAGTTTTATGATGCCTACAAGGTGTCCCAGAACAACGTAGCATAAATTCTACAGCGTGAACTATACAGGGTGATCCACGGTGGATGGCCTATTAGAAGTATCTGGAAAACGAAAAGACAGAACATTCTGAAAATTGGGATGCTTTGATAATTGAACATTCTCTATCCGTCTAAAATATTTTCATCGATACAGTGTTGTCACTTCTATCAGAAATGACTAGCAACTTTGTTATTTCAAATAGAACACCCTGTATTTTATTGCATTTTTAGATTCTTCCTGGAAAGCTGATTTCATCAACGTATCACACTTGATGGGGACTAGCAGGAATGATTACAGAGATATATATAGGGTGTTCAAAAACGAAATTTTTCAATTTTAGGTTTCTTTTTGTTGAAACTATTCATTATCGATCAAAACGGCTTACATCTTAATTTTTGATTTACTATCTACTGGAATTTAATTGGAAAAAATACAGGGTGCTTTAATAAGATTCAGAATTCTGATCATCCTGAAAATAATGGAATGTTATTAACACGACCCTATATATATAAGTTCGGAAGTTAAAAGAGTCATACCTTGATATAAACTTTTCTTCTTATAATGAGCTAAGCATAGATTAGCTAAGGAACCATATCCTATATTTTCAGACATCAATTAGATATTACACCCTGTATATATAGGCGCGCTTATATATTGATGCACCAATTTGAATTTTTGTTATCAATCAATATGAAGACCATAATGTTTTCTTTTATATGATTATCAAGAATAATAGGAATACAATGTAACCGAAAGTGTCAAAACAAACCAATATTCATTTCTTTTCTGAGAAAAATGTGCCTGGAAATTTTGTTAGTCATTCCTTGCAAGCCATATATTAATTGACCGAATGAATTAATCAATTAGCCAATTGTCCAGTTATAAAAGCAGTCGAGTGTCAAGTATTATTGTTCTTGAGCGGAGACAGGCGCGGATCCAGGGGGGGGGCATGGGGCCATACCCCCAGCCCCTCACGAACAAAGCACAAAAACATCTCAAAGATGTTAAAAGTACCTACGAAATGTCGAGACATATTAGAGAGTTGAAGTGTTGTCATGAACGTTAACGTAAACGTAGAAATTGACAGCTACGCATGCGCATTTTCCAATTCTTCACGTTTGCGTTGTTAGTGGGCTTACGGGTGTACGTTATCTCACGTTCCTTCACGTATACCTTAAATATCAACGTACGTTAACCAAACTATACTCGAAATATGCCGATGAGTCAAAATTATCAAATTCGAGATCACCAACGAGTTCTGCATCAAGGAGTCCTCTAATTTTGACAGGAATAAATAATGTTCGAATCTAAACACACAACCAAAAATGACCAATACAAACCGAAAACAAAATGTATTATTACGTTATGATGACAGTGACGACCAAAGTGGCGACTTCAACTCAATTTAACGACAATACGTAAACGTTATTTTTCGTACGTTAACGTCTACGTGAAGGTTTACGTACAGTGATTACTTCAACTCTCTATTGAACCTCCACGGCGATGTCCTGTTCACATCACATGAATACAACTTTCATAGAACAGCCAATGTCCGCTGCAATTAAGCGGCGTTTATAAAGATAGATGGGATGTCACAAAAATACATTCTCCCTTTAATATAGCCTTTTCATGTATATTACCTTTTCGAAGCGTCTTGCGCACATTTAACCGATGCCAAAATAGTACATTGTTGTATTAATTTTGCTTTTGCTCGGCTTCGCTAGAGGCTCCGCCTCGCAAATGCGAAATTTGCTTGTCGAACAGTCTGCCACTTTTGATCCGAATGAAACATGCTATTTTTCCTGCAACCGAAAGGATGAATATTAAGTGAAGTAATCACCAATGTGACTCACTTGACACATTAGTATAATATTATGCAAGAAATCAGGCTCTACTTCACTATGTTAAAATTTGTGTTGTGTCGTGTACAGGCACGAATTCAATACTACTTGAAACGTGGATGCCGTGCCATATATATGCAAATGCAACAAATAATCCGTGTGGTGAGAATATTCTACCTGCATATACCGATCAGGTTCATTTAATTTTCAAGGATTTTCAAATTGTATTGTATTGATACGATGAAAATACCGCGCCAGTGCCAGGTATAGGGTATAGGAAAAATAAGTGGAAAATGTTAGGTTAGTGAGCTTATTTTGATATAAAAAGGGACGACTTTTGTGTCGGTTGCAGAAAAAAAGATATTCCTGGTTGGTATATTGTAGAACGGAAGAAGAAAATTGAGAAATAAGAGCTTTTCATCATATTATCATATTATTTTGATAAGATTCTGTATGTTCTCAGAATATTCATGGAAATTACATAGGTTGTCGAAATATTTGGCAAATGAAACATATTGACGTTCATTTCATTGATATTTACTGCCACATTCAATGAAACATCTTGAACATCAAGAATTTCCTGAAATTATTCTTGAAGTGCAAATCGTATAGCTCTTGGAGAGTCTCTGCCAAGGCTGGACGAAGGCGAATAAGCCTCTGGATGTCATCCCTAATCTGCTCTATAGTCTATAGCTTCTGAATTATTGTTATTGAGAATAAAAAAACTCCATATTTTTTTGAAACACTTGTATCTTCTCTTAAGAAAGAGATATTGACGTGAATCTAGAACCATTTTGCTGAGGAACGAAAAAGGATCACACTTCAATTCAAAACACGGTTGGAGAACGGTTCTCAGTTGTTGTGAATAAAAATAAAAAATGCCATACTTTCTCAAAACACCCTTTCTCTCAGAAAGTGGTTTTCGACGTCAATCAAGAACCACTGTGTTAAGAAGGGATTACACTTCAATCCATAACATAATGAAGCAAAGTTCAACCACTCACCTACGCCACAGGCCGTTTAGAAGTTGAGGATGAAATAGTAACTTTCGTTTATCCCTGTGTAATGATGAAGACATCAACTTTTCTTATAGAACCGAATATTTAGGCTAACATTCCGAACCATGAATATACGATTTGCGAAATTTCACCAAAATCCGACAAGAATTAAAAAAGTTACAGGGCCAATATTTTGGCAACATTTTTTGGTGACCGTTTTTCTTTTGGCCAGTGAGTGTATATTATATCGTATTCAAAAAAATAATCTTGAATGAAATCAATCAGAACAGATAGTGTCATTTGACAACAAAAATTAGTCACTTTCAGTTGATAAAAATAATGATCATAGGATTTGATGAGTAATTTCCTTCGCGTTTTTGTTTTTTATGAAATCGGATAGTCAATAGCGGCCCTATGGCTTTTTTGGGCACTTTTTGTTAGTTAGCCTGTATATTTATTTATGACATATATCGAATATTTTGAACTTGTCTTCATTTTGTAAACCGGAATTTTGATACTTGAAATAAAACTGAATACTATTTTATGTTTACTAGAACCGATCGTTCTAAAAGAAAATATAATTTTTCCGAAGGCGCCGATAAATATGACTTCCTATTGCCCCCTCAAACATCGCCTGGATGCGCCCCTGAGCGGAGAACATTTATTTTGTTTGGTGGCGGGTCATAAACATAGAATAGCCATCTTGATTCGCCTGTTGCGCTTTGCGCTGTTGCCGATAACACAAAAGATCGTGTATTACAACTTCCGCTAAACAATATTAATAGAGTGAATTCTCCCTCCCACGAACGTTGCAAGAAATGTAAAATGTATTTATAAGTAATTTAAAACATTTTCTTCACTTTCCCAGCCTGCTATGCTTGCGCTGATATATTGTAGGTTTCTTAACTGGATCACTCGATCACTCTATATATACAAGGTCGCCGTTGTTGCCTGATTACCTACCTATATATCTTTGTTTACTTTTTTGTTTTACTACCTACTTTGTGTATCGTATGTGGCAATTGGTTTATTAAACAAAATGTTGTGAACAATTTGTGCCATTAAAAGTTGGTCGTTAAGCCATGCTGCAGTCTGGTAAGTCAAACTTTTTGGAACAAATCCAATTTTTATTCATATTTTTCAATATGAATGTAGACCCTATGCAGAGAGTCTATTACTCGATATACCTACGTCACCTGACTATCGATTTCATTAGTTTCAATGTCATATTCCATTATACCAGGTACCAGGTGATTCATATAAACATTGAACATGTTTGAGAGATTTATACCATTTTATTTGATGACTGATACCTCTGATCATATAGGATTTACATCGCTTAATCGTAATAAGTACTTATTATTATGGCACAGAAAATCACTTTCCAACTTTACAGATAACTGCGCACGACACTGCACAGATTACGAAATATCTTCCACCCAAAGACAAACGTGATTGTTTTTTTGAATAAAACGCTTCCAAATAGATGGATCGGAAGAGAGAGAAAGGGTATAGTGACAAAAGCGTTGATTGATATATAAGCGTAATATATCAATCAACGCTTAGGGGCAGTGAAATGGCCTGCTCGTTTACTCGATCTCAATCTTATTGGTTTTTTTATGAGGATGTTTTAAGTACAAAATTCACGCCTATCAAAAATTTAATATTCAGGAATTTTGTACATACTCATGTGAGGCCTTTTATATACGTTCCTATACGTTTCAACGATGGGCATCAATATATTTTATGAATATCCTGAAAAGCAATAATACAGGGTGATTCACATAACAACCGACATAGAGCAGGGGCATGTAGGGGGTACCAAAATATACGCAACTTATACCTATATACCAAGTTGCTTCCCTAAGGAGTTATAGGCTAGCCTATAACTTTGGGAGTGAAGTTATAAATTTTGAAAAAAATCAATATCTCCGTTATTCTTGAACTTAAAGCAACCAAATTTGCTACACTTTGTGGATGTATTTAGGGCGTTACTTGACAGTAACTAGAGTTCAATTGAAATTTGTAAAGGGGTATACCGCGTGGTGCAACATTAATATTCAACATAATTTTGTTAACCCTTGATGGATTTGAAGAATCTTTGCTTTGTTTTGTGGGAAAATCAATTCTAAAACTTTTCTTTGTCCAGTAATTTCTCGAAAAACCTCATCATGTTCCTCAAAAACTCGAATAACTGAAAACGCGTGCTCTAGGTGTTATTTAAAATCATCGAAAATTCAAAAGTTGGCTATGAAAATAAACGTCAAACTTGACAATGAAGCAAGTAAGTTGTTCAAATAAGTATTTTATCGATAAACAATTGTATGTTCTGGTTTTTGTTTAAGTTTTTTGTGTTTATTTTGGTTAGTTGTTTATCCCAGTTTTTTACATTTCAGTATCTGTCCTTACTTTACGTATTTTGTTACGTATCTAAATAATAATTTGCCAGCCAATTTCTACTGATCACAATAAATGACCTACTTTCTTGTTGTACGTTTATTTTCATAGCCAACTTTTGAATTTTCTATGATTTCAAATAACACACCTAGAGCGCGCGATTTCAGTTATTCGAGTTTTTGATGAAAATGATGAGGTTTTTTGAAAAATTACTAGACTAAGAAAAGTTTTAGAATTGAATGGCCCACACAACAAAGCACATATTTTTGATATCCATCGAGGGTTAACAAAATTCTGTTGAATATGAATGGTGCGCCACCCGGTATACCCCTTTACAAATTTCAATTGAGCTCTAGTTACTGTCAAGTAACGCCCTGAATACATCCACAAAGTGTACCAACTTTGGTTGCTTTAAGTTCAAGAATAACGGAGATATTGATTTTTTTCAAAATTTATAACCTCATTTTCAAAGCCTATAACTCCTTAGGGAAGCAACTTGGTGTAGAGGTAGGTTGCGTTAAATTGCCATATTTTGGGACCTCCTACACAGCTCCTGCTCTATGTCGGTTCTTATGTGAATCACCCTGTATATACAGTGTATTTTTCGTAATTGTTCAGCTAGGATTCTGAAATTTTCAGAAGTAGAAGATTTAATTAGAATACACACCATGATCAAGTGGTGTCATCTTCAGTTATATACACTGCTCACCAACAGCCATGAAACCACCCACATTTCCGTAAAATGATATTGAGAGGCAAGATAGGTTGAAAATCCCTTCGGATTCGACATCAGGACGTCCAATTCACTAACTATTCATATTTTTCTTGAAAAAAGCACACCTGTATCTAACGTATAATTATTGAGGTATAGGGATCTGAAATTTGCAGGAGAAAAGGTGGGGCTAAAGATCACGCCAATCACGTAAGATACGGGGGCACTTTCATCAAGAGTGAGGCATAATTTAGTTTTTCAGAACTAAAAAATGTTCAGGAAAAATATAGAAAACCAGTGAACTGGACGTCCGGATTACGAATCCGAAGAGTCCGAAGTGATTATCAACCTACCTTTAGAGCAGTGTCTACTGAAGATGACTCCACTGAGTATATAGTGTGTATTTCCAGTATACCTGCTCTCGCTCCTGCATTTTTCAAAGATACAGGGGTGTTTCCACTAGAAGTGAGACACACTGTATATCATATGGACTGTGTTTTGAAAATATTCAGGAAGAGAAGTTGCATGATATAAAATTAAAAATGTTAGGTCTACGTTGAGATTCATCGATCGATATTCTTAATAAAAATGAATTTTCACGAGAGATATATTATTATGAACGCACTGTATAATATAAACATCTATGAGATGTAACATTGAAGTATCACTGCGAAATCACTTCGTTATACTTAGTAAAGAAAAGTGTGGTTTCGATTTAGAAAAATTGCACTTTTACATAATTATGTCAAAATCAGATCAAACATAATGTTTGTGGCAATGAAAAATTACTTTCAGATAAATTCAATATTTCAAGTCCTCCCTAGTACTTATAATGATACTATCTACACATAAATTTGAAGTTCCGTCACTTTGATTTATATATATTTAAACTTTGATCCGAGCTTTCATCATATCCTCCTATGAATGACCAAAAATCGTCCAAAAGATATTCCGACATGAATTGGACATGGTTTGGACGCCCATAAGATATCTGGTGTTGTATGTGGGTTCTGAAGAATCGAAATAATTAATTTGGAAGATAATGCAGATGCTGATTGTTATCGATTTCATGTTTAATTATCCGAACACATGCGTGACTCATTTTTCTAATAATGTACATACGTATATATACCAATGATAATTGAAAGATCAATCGACTTACCTGAAGGAAGAGTGATCTCAATTATATGAGCAGTCTCGTCGAAAGATTATAAACACCCTGTAGTCCTAGCGCGCTATACCTTGCCTACGACGTTTAAAGAAATACAAGTTTTTTGTTTATTAGTCACCGGTATTTCTTTATCACTTCCCGAACTTGATTTATCTTCATTGGTTCAGAGTACTTACCTACCTAGATTGCAAGGGAGGGTATAGTTGGGAGGGAGGTTTATAATCTTTCGACGAGACTGCTCATATAATTGAGATCACTCTTCCTTCAGGTAAGTCGATTGATCTTTCAATTATATTTCGCAGTCTCGTCTCAGATTATAAACACCCTGTAGATGTTGAGAGACTGGCTAGCAATCTAGGTGGACACATTATGTGTTTGACTTTCAATAGTAGGTATATTCATTCATTATTATTAAATGTTATTGAAATGTCAATGTATAATGTAAATAAACAGTACATTTATTAACATGTAGAAAAATAATATATACAATCATACGCAATATTCAACGATATGGTATATAAGTAATTACGATTACAAAACATATTTCCATCATTTTAACTTTAGTTAAGTATATTATACATATCAATAAATATAACAAAATATACAACAAAATTTGGATTCTAAATTTTCATTTTGAGTTCCTCAATGTATCTTTCGACATACGATTCATACAAATTCGTTCTGACATATAGATTGTTTTCATAAATAAGCCTACATAACTATACTTCAAAGCCTGAACTTCTTAATAAGCCTTTCGCGAAATCATTTGGGTATGGTTCGACAGGTTTATTATAAAATTTTGCAAATACTGCTGATTTGTTGGTCCAGCCAGCAGCCTTTCTGATGGATTCTATATTTGCGCCACCTCGATAAGCTGCTGAGGTTGCAGCGTGACGCGAGGAGTAGGCTGTGAAGACCTCAGTGTCTATGCCACACTCATTAAGAATATTTTTTATCCAATGACTGATGGTTTGACTGCTAGCTGTACGAAAGGGTTTTTTGATAGTTAATATAAGGTGGCTATCATCGGCTTGCCGGGTATTTTTGGTTCTTAGTAGGTATTCTATGACGGTCGATGCCAAGCATAATTCTGGTTTCTCGTGGAAAAAAGGAAGTATGAGAACAGGTTGAAGCCTATTCCTTCCCGATGTTTTTATTCTATCGGGTACATATATCATAATAGACTCAGGTGTTTGTTTGATATTTTCTATTTTGATTTTTGTTAAGGTTTGCAATCTTTGACCGGAGATCAGTATCATCAGAGTGACCATTTTTTGAGTTAATTGTTTCATTGTGATGTTTTCTAAAGGATACCATTTAGATAAATGATCCAGAACAGGATATGGGTCCCAGGTAGAATTATATTTGGGCTTGGGAGGATTTAAATTATAAATCCCTTTTAGGAAACGTTTGATCATATTTTGGTCCTGTTCTTGAATTTCAAGAACAAGTGCCAGTGCTGATTTATATGAATTAATTTTTGAATACGAGCACCCCAATTGTGAGGTTTCTGTAAGAAAATTTATTACGGACTTCAAATCGTATTCGTATGGTATTTGATTATTATTTATGCAGTATTCCCACCATTTCCTGAATACAGACTCATATTGAGTGAGTGTTTTCTCGGTTATTGAGGAAAGAATTGCTTCTATACCTGATTCTGGAAATTTTCTTCGAAGAAATGATTGCCTGATAAGATTCCGACCTCCAGGATAAGGCTCCTTGAAAGGGGGTGGGGTTCCCTGAAAGGTGATAAAATAAGATTGGCTTCGGGTCCTAGACATATTGATTCTCTGACTAATAACTTCCTAAACA